AAAAAAAAAAAAAAAAAAAAAAAAAAAAAAAAAAAAAAAAAAAAAAAAAACTTTTTTTTTTTATACAGAATTGAAGAGCAATTTTTTTTAAAAGGAAAATAAAACAAAAAAAATTCTGATGGGTACTTACCGAGAAAAACATTTTCCCCAAGAATTTTGTCAAAAATGTGTTGGGGCGGCAACATCGAAAATTTTCCACATACACGCTTTACAATTATTCAGCGGTTTTTATAGTTTTTTTTTTTTTTCCAATTTTTTTTTCTTTTCCAAAAAAAATTTTTGGGGCCTGAGAGACCAATACGTATAAAGGGAAAAAATATATAAACTCACTGTTTGAACACAAAAACCACAAAGTTTTCATAAAATTTTTTTTACCACGTTGTTAAATTACAAAAACCATGCCAAATCTTTTTATAATACTAATTTTTCTATCATATATTTACATATTTAACAATCACTTGGCCAGGGTTTTGGGAACTGTTTGGAGCTTGGGGAACTCCTTGAAACAAGCACCATGCACAGAGGCCCCTTAAAATTCCCTCACACATAAACAGAGTGCTTTGCGTTTTTGTTGCCGTCGTTTGTTTGGGGCACAACTTTAAACCCTTTTCCCTGGGGCAAATTTTTTCTGATTTGAAGAACCCTTATTTGAAATGATCCCCCCTTCCCTCCCTAAAACCGGCTTGGGTATATCCTGAGAAAAATTCGGGACCTTGTTGTATAGCAGGTTTCTTCCCTTTTGGAATTTCATTATGAGTTGTCTGACAACAAAAAAAATAAAATTCACCAAAAGGGGGGGGGTCTTTTGCCATATTTTGGGGGACATATTATATCCCATTGAGCATTGAAATGCCCCTTTAGATGGAAGAAAAGTTTCATTACCCTGGGAACTCTTTACGAAAACCCCGTCAACAAAACCAAACTGCATTCACATTTGTCAACCAACGCATGTTTTTTGTATAACAATCACTGTCACGGGTTTTTTAATACTTCATTAATCACCACATTCAATTAATTTTATCAACTTTTTCCACTGTCCCTTTCATTTCATTATGGTGAATGGTTTTTAAAAACAAAGTGACAAATTTTGTTTGTCAAGCCACCTACGCCATGATTTCATTGGCATAAAACACCTCACGTCATCACCAAAGAGCACCTTCTTTTAGGACCCGGGCCCTATTTTTTACGATTAGAACGCACTGGCCACACACATCTTTTTTTTCACTCGCATGAAAAACCCCCGAAAAGGGGTTTTTGGAACCCAACTAACGGTTTAAAAAATTTATGCCCCCTTAAAACCCAAAAAAGGGCCATCATGTTTCTTTTACAAAGTCAACCCATATACCCCCAAAAACCCTCCCCTTTATCCCTTTTAATGTTTTACTTCCCCGGGATAAAAACAATACCAACACCAGGCCACGTCACAAACAGGGTACAAACATTTTTTTACCAAAGCGTTTCCTCTTGCCGGTAATAATGCTTTAATGACAGTTTCCCCTTTTAACAAAATCAAAGGGCCTTTAATTACAAGAAATTTGAAAGGGATAAAAGTAAATGCTTAACATTTGTTTGAGAAACAAAGAAAACAAATTTTAAAACTTGAAAAAAACCCGCACTTCTGTCAGGGCCCGGTTTTTGCAGAGAAGTGCAAAAAAACGTAAGAGTAAGATTTAAAACCCGTTTACTTTTTTTTATTTACCTGAAGACCCCCCCGGGGAGAATTATCGATCTGTGGACCCCTAAGCTTTTTTATTAAAGCTTTTAGACAACATAAGCATTAATTTTTTTCAAAAAGCCCAAAAAAAAATTTCCCGCAAAATCGCTCCTTTCCACCTGTTTTATCTTTACTGGGTGATATGATCGTAAATTTTCCATGGTGTACTCAAAATACTTATTACTTTCCTACAAAGTTTCCATCAATGGGTGGTCAAAGAAAAAAAAATTTAAAAAAAAATTTTCCCGTTTATTGGCCGTGGTTTTCCCAAAGGGGGCAAGGGAGGTAGAATTTCCACTTTGAGAGTCCCTCAAAGTGGTTGGGGGTTGGGAACAAAAATGGGAATTTTTTGCTGCCAAACCCCCATATGGTTTTGCTGGTTTGGGAAACTGGGCATAAAAAGGCTGGTTTTGCGGGGGTTTGGTTGTGGGGGCTGGGAGGGTGAACGCTCCGCTTTGTCCCCTTTAAAAAAGACGAGTGGCAGCATGGGTTCCCCCCCCCGGGCTGGCGAGCACGGGAAGGCTGGCCCCCAAACCCTCACCACTAACACCTCCACTGGGTGCCTGTTTGGGCTAACCCTGCCAAGTGGGACCACAATCAACCTCACAAACAAATACCTAAAACTGGTGGGAGGGCCACGGGGTTACTCCCGGGGTTACTCCCCTCCCCTGGCCCCAGCATAGGGTACACCCAAACCCGAGCGCAAGCGCGGAACAAAAACCCAAAGCTTCACTGGAAATAAAGATTTCCTCACTATCCTACTCCAAAAAGAAACGCGAGCGCAATAAAATCACAATCCACGTCACTATCATCATCATTACTGAAGTCAGAGGCCTGGCCACGCGAAAATATTAGTTTTCTCTTGCGTTGAGGAAACAACCGACGTGAGTCACGCGTGCCCACTCCAGAGGTAGAAGGTTGAGGATCGTCAGGGTTTTCTGCACTATTATCGATATCCTGGTCACTCTTTTCGGTCACTAACTGATCAAAGCCATAGAATTCGTCTTCATTTCCACTTCCATCAGTGTCAGAACTATCAGATAGGAAGAGGAGAGTCCCAATTTTCCGGGGAGTGAGAGCTGACTTGCGACGAGGCATGGTGAACAAGGGTAACTGAGCTGGCGTTCCCACAATGCTATGCGGGCGCCTAGATTTTTTGTTTATGGTGCACACCCACCACGCAGACCTGTTCTCTCACATGTAGGCCTATGAGCGCTTTCGCGCTAAATTTGACGGCGCTAGAATTTTGGCATAGATCTACGGTTTGGACACTCAACGTGAAGCCGTAGATCTACGGAGTGGACCCTGAAAGGGTTAAAGTTTGAAATGACCTGCTGGTCCATGGGCTGGAGGAGAGGAGTGGTATTCGGGGGCAAGAACTTCACTGTGATGAACCCAACCTCCTTCAGAATTAAGTCATCCAAGTTTGGAGGATGAGCAGGTGCATTGTACATTACTAGGAGGCCCTTGAAAACCAATTTCTTTTCCAGGAGGTAATTCTTCACACTAGGACCAAACACTTCATTGAACCACTAGACGAAAATTTCCCTCATGACCATGCCTTATTATTAGATCTCCAAAACACACACAATTTACTATTCATAACATTGTTTTTCCTGAACACTCTGGGATTTTCAGAATGGTACACTAGTAACGGCTTCACTTTGAAATCCCCACTAGCATTAACATAGAACATGAGCGCCAGCCTGTCTTTCATAGGCTTGTGCCCTGGCAGTGCCTTTACTTCCTAAGTAATGTAGGTCCTCTTTGGCATTTTCTTCCAAAAGAGGCCTGTTTTGTCACAGTTGAACACTTCAGGTTTCAGTCCTTCAGCCTCTATGTACTCCTTGAATTCATGCACATATTTTTCAGCCGCTTTGTGGTCCGAACTGGCAGCCTCACCATGCCTTATCACACTGTGTATGCCAATACACTTCTTAAATCTCTCAAACCAGTCTTTGCTGGCCTTAAATTCACTCGCATCACCATTAGTTGCAGGCAATTTCTTTACCAAATCGTCATGCAACTGCCTAGCCTTTTCACAAATAAGCGACGTCATAAGACTATCTCCTGCTAATTGTTTCTCGTTTATCCACACCAATAATAACTTCTCAACATCTTCGAGTACTAGTGATCTCATTTTTGTCGGCATATTTACCCCCTTTGCAACAACAGCTTCCTTGATTTCCTTTTTCTTGGCTATGATGGAAGATATGGTTGTACGGGATTTGTTATACATCCTGGCCAGTTCGCCCACACGTATGCCACTTTCATGTTGTTCAATGATTTTTTCTTAAATTCAATCATATTTCTCACCTTCCTTACCAAAGGCTTGGCACTAGGAGCTTACTTTGGAGCCATGGAAGCTTATTTAGCACTTGCAAGCACTAAAATGAATGGATTATGAAATATTTCATATGAACATGTGAGGGGACCGTCGCTCACTGGTAAACAATGGCACACTGGCTGGGAAGGGAGGCCGAGGCGGCTCAGAGCCGTGAGTACGCGTCCAGGATGAAAGACAATTAGCGAGTTAGCGGAACATTTGCGAGCCAATGTTTAGACGAAATAACACGACAATTTCCAAAATGGAAGACTTTCAGGCCGGACGATTATTGAGGGACCACTGTATACTCTATTACAGCCCATTGCGAAGTGGTCAAGAAAGCTTCTCAAGACCTCGCCTGCAGGGGTGGCTGTGTGGGCGATAGCTGTCTTATCAGCTAAGTACTCCCTATACAGTGGACCCTCAGCTAACGATACTAATCCATTCCTGAAAGCTCATCGTTACCTGAAATTATCGTTAGCTGAAATAATTTTCCCCATAAGAAATAATGGAAATCAAATTAATCCGTGCAAGACACTCCAAAGTATGAAAAAAAAAAAAATTTACCACATGAAATATTAATTTTAATACACACAAACTGACACTTACCTTTATTGAAGATCTGGTGATGATTGATGGGACGGGAGGAGGGGAGTGTGTGGAAGTTGCTAATGTTTAGAAGGGGAACCCCTTTCCATTAGGACTTGAGGTATCCAGTCCTTTTCCGGGGTTACTTCCCTTTCTTCTTTTAATGGCACTAGGACCAACTTGAGAGTCACTGGACCTCTGTCGCACAACAAATCTGTCTATAGAGGTCTGTACCTCCCGTTCCTTTAAGATTTGCCTAAAATGGGCCACAACATTATCATTGTAATAGTGAACATCAAAATGGTATACAATACCGACAGGTTGTTAGGTAAGACACATATGCAACAGTTAGACAACTTTATTCCGAAACGTTTCGCCTACACAGTAGGCTTCTTCAGTCGAATACAGAAAATAGGCAGGAACAGTAGAGATGTGAAGACGATGTAATCAGTCCATCACCCTTGTAGTCGTAGAATTTGAGGTTGTCAGTCCCTCGGCCTGGAGAAGTTCAGTTCCATAGTCAGGAACTATCTGAAGATCAAGCGACAGTGCGGAGACTTAAATACTGTCGGAAGGAGAGGTGAGTAGTAGTAGTAGTAGTAATAGTAGTAGTAGTAGTAGTAATAGTAGTAGTAATAGTAGTAGTAGTAGTAGTAGTATAGTAGTAATAGTAGTAGTAATAGTAGTAGTAATAGTAGTAGTAGTAATAGTAGTAGTAGTAATAGTAGTAGTAGTAATAGTAGTAGTAGTAATAGTAGTAATAGTAGTAATAGTAATAGTAGTAGTAGTAGTAGTAGTAATAGTAGTAATAGTAGTAGTAATAGTAGTAGTAAGTAGTAGTAGTAATAGTAGTAGTAGTAAGTAGTAGTAGTAGTAATAGTAGTAGTAGTAATAGTAGTAGTAGTAATAGTTAGTAGTAGTAGTAGTAGTAATAGTAGTAGTAGTAGTAGTAGTAGTAGTAGTAGTAGTAGTTAGTAGTAGTAGTAGTAGTAGTAGTAGTAGTAGTAGTAGTAGTAGTAGTAGTAGTAGTAGTAGTAGTAGTAGTAGTAGTAGTAGTAGTAGTAGTAGTAGTAGTAGTAGTAGTAGTAGTAGTAGTAGTAGTAGTAGTAGTAGTAGTAGTAGTAGTAGTAGTAGAGAATGTAACCACTGAAAGGTCATGTCCCTCTCAGATCCAACACTTCTCACTTGAAAAGCTTGCCCAAGGTGTTTTCTGTACCAAGATGCCATGTGTTGCAGTGTCTGACAAGATGAACATCAAAATGGTATACAATACCGACAGGTTGTTAGGTAAGACACATATGCAACAGTTAGACAACTTTATTCCATAGTTCCTGACTATGGAACTGAACTTCTCCAGGCCGAGGGACTGACAACCTCAAATTCTACGACTACAAGGGTGATGGACTGATTACATCGTCTTCACATCTCTACTGTTCCTGCCTATTTTCTGTATTCGACTGAAGAAGCCTACTGTGTAGGCGAAACGTTTCGGAATAAAGTTGTCTAACTGTTGCATATGTGTCTTACCTAACATTGTAATAGTCACCAGCATGGCTTGCAATAGCTGTGTTAGGGTGATTTTCATCCATAAAGATTTGCAGTTCAACCCACTTTGGACACATTTCCTTAATCTTTGAAGTAGGCACAATGGATTCCACAACTGGCATAGGGTTAGCCCAAAACCATTCAAAATCTTACTTAACCCTTTCAGGGTCCAAGGCCAAAATCTGAAGTGGTGCCCCAGTGTCCAAGAATTAAAAAAAAAAAAAAATGTTATTTTTACTTATGAAATGGTAGAGAATCTTTTTGTGAATGTAATAAAACAAAAAGTACAAAATTTGATGGAAAATTGACGAAATTATGCTCTCGTGAATTTTGATGTGTCAGCGATATTTATGAATCGGCGATTTTGCCGACTTTGACTCCCATTTTAGGCCAATTACATTGTTCCAGTCGACCAAATTCTTAGCTATTTCACTAGCTATCGATTGAGTACAAGAAATTGCCAAGTCAACTGTTTCAACTACAAAATAAAGTGACCGGAAATTGTTAATTTGGCCAATTTAACACAAAGTTCAAAATATTCCAATTTCAAAATAGGGTCCAGAATAAACAATGTAGGTATTCCTGGCACTAAACTAACATTTCCTCTGTTCATTAGTTATGTTTTGAGGCTTTACAAATAAATTCCATTTTGATTTTTTATTCACATAATGAATTTTTATTCACACAAAAAATAGAAGATTTACTGTTATGCAATATTGTAATAATTGTATAACTATCATCACCACATTTGTGAATGCATATTAGACCCACGTGCGAAGTCGTTTGTTTGCTCTTGAACATTGGCAAAAATTTAACATTTCCGCCAATTTGAGCTCAGTTTCAAGCCATTTCCAGTGCTAAAACCAATCAAAATTATCTCTATTTCTGTAATATGTCTTCAATTCTATCAAATGAGACCAAGAAATCACAAATACAACTATAAAAAACATACGAAAAAACACTGCAAAATCGCTGTTTTAATCGAAAATCACGGTCTCAGTTTTTTTCTCTCATTATACACAGTGTGCTGCAGGATTTGTTTTATGTGGTGCACACATATCACATAGATGTATTCTCTCATATCTAGGCCCAAATTTACCACTCACAGTTTATCAGAGTGAGCTGAGCTCATGACGTAGATCTACGGTTTGGACCCTGAACGTAAAGCCGTAGATCTAAGGGACGGACCCTGAAAGGGTTAATATAGCTGAAATTTTCCCCCACTGGTGTATCTCATTTGGGCAGACCCAAAAACACTTCTCTGATTTTATTTCAACAGTGATCGCTGATTTAAACTTCCTGCATGACCCATGAGACCATGTACCATAGAGACTGCATGCAATCCAGGCAGGACTTCATCTGTTACCCTTTCTGCAGACTAAGCAGATTTTTCAAGGTGGTGGCCATTTACAACTCTCCTAACTCGCTAGTCTATAGGACTACTAAAAGTATTTACAGTAGACCATTGTTTAATACGGTTTGGTCTTGCACGTTTTGGTTATAGCACGACTGAAGAACTGGGTCATATTTTTGTTGAACACTTTGTAAATATACAAATAACCCGCACATAAAAGAGAGGAGCTTACAACGATGTTTCAGTCCGAGTTGGACCATTTACAAAGTCACACTAACAAAACGGAGAGAAGGATGGGTATATATAGGCAGGAGGTGGTAGTAGTGGAGGGAAGGAAGTAGTAGTGGGGAGGTAGTAAGAGTAGGAGGGGCCAGTCAAATACTAAGAAAGAGGAGCACTGCAAGGGAGATAGGTGCCCACAGAGGGTAACAACAAGAACATCGAGGGGGGGGAATAAATAAATAAAGAAGGAACAAATATACAGGGCAGAAGAAAGACAACCCAAAGGAGAAAAAGGAAAGAGGAAGGGGAAAAGGGAGAAGAAAAGATGAGGAATCAGGTTAGGTCACAAGTGTTCTGAAGTTTGGAGCATTTTACAATGTAGTGGGAGACGAAGGCATCTACAGAGATAAAGCCAAGACTAAGATTCATACGAGGAAAGTTGTGTATTAGGGAGGATTCAACCAGACGGCGACTGTTAAAGTTGGAAGTAGGGAAGACAGTTTTAGCAGAAGACCAGTCAATAGGATGGCTGTGATCTCTGATGTTAGTGTAAACTTGCTATCTGGCATTTATATGCATTTATAAATGGAAAAAAATGGCTTTCTGCTTTCCGGCAATGCCCACTTTCTGGTGGTAGCCTGGAACCTAACCTGCCATGTGAGGCCCTACTGTATTTGTACATGTTGGTAATACTGCAGTTTATATCTCTAGTTTTATATATAAAAAAATAATTCAACACTTCAGCTGTTTCCCACAGAGGCAGGGTGACCCAAAAAAGAAAAACACAAAAAGAAATGATAAACTTTCATCATTCAATACTTTTACCATCACACATACATATCACTGTCTTTGCAGAGGAGCTCAGATACAACAGTTTAGACGTCCCTCCTAACTGCCAATACTATCCTAAACCCCTCCTTTAACCCTTTGACTGTCGCGGCCGTATATATACGTCTTACGAGGTACCGTGTTTGATGTATATATACTCAAATTCTAGCGGCTTCAAATCAAGCAGGAGAAAGCTGGTAGGCCCACATGTGAGAGAATGGGTCTGTGTGGTCAGTGTGCACCATATAAAAAAAATCCTGAAGCACGCAGTGCATAATGAGAAAAAAAAAACTCCGACCGTTTTTTTTAATTAACCCTTTCAGGGTCCGTCCCGTAGATCTACGGCTTTACGTTCAGGGTCCAAACCGTAGATCTACGCCATGAGCTCAGCTCACTCTGATAAACTGTGAGTGGTACATTTGGGCCTAGATATGAGAGAATACATCTATGTGGTATGTGTGCACCACATAAAACAGATCCTGCAGCACACTGTGTATAATGAGAGAAAAAAAATGAAATCATGATTTTTCGATTAAAACAGCAACTTTGCAGTGTTTTTTCGTATGTTTTTTATAGTTGTATTTGCGATTTCTTGGTCTCATTTGATAGAAATGGAAGACATATTACAGAAGAGAGATGATTTTGATTGGTTTTTAACACTGGAAATGGCTTGAAACTGAGCTCAAAGTAGCAGAAATGTTAAATTTTTGCCGATATTCAAGAGTAAACAAACGACCTCACACGTCTAATACACGTCAGCTGGTGGGTCTAATATACATTCACAAATATGGTGATGATATTTATACAATTATTACAGTATTGCATAACAGTAAATCTTCTATTTTTTGGTGTGAATAAAAATTCATTATGTAATAAAAAATCAAAATGGAATTTATTTGTAAAGCCTCAAAACATAACTAATGAACAGAGGAAATGTTAGTTTAGTGCCAGGAATGCCTACATTGTTCATTCTGGACCCTATTTTGAAATTGGAATATTTTGAACTTTGTGTTTAAATTGGCCAAATTAACAATTTCCGATCACTTTATTTTGTAGTTGAAACAGTTGACTTGGCGATTTCTTGTGCTCAATCGATAGAATAGAAGTAATACTAGTGAAATAGCTAAGAATTTGGTTGATTGGAATAATGTAATTGGCCTAAAATGGGAGTCAAAGTCGGCAAAATCGCCAATTCGTAAATATCGCTGACACATCAAAATTCGCGAGAGCATAATTTCGTCAATTTTCCACCAAATTTCGTACTTTTTGTTTTATTACCTTCACAAAAAAGATTCTCTACGATTTCATAAGAAAAAATAACAAAATTTTTTTTTTTTAAATTCTTGGACACTGGTGCGTGACTCCAGATTTGGGCCTTGGATCCTGAAAGGGTTAAAATGCCAACTTTGTGGTCTATTTTCGCATAGTATTTATGGTTGTATTCTCGTTTTCTTGGTCTCATTTGATAGAATGGAAAACATATTATAGAAATAGAGGTGATTTTGATTGATTTTACTATAAAAAGAACCTAGAAATGGAGCTCAAAATAGGGGAAATGTTTGATTTTTGCCAATGTTCAAAAGTAAACAAATGATGCCATTGTCCAATAAATGTCCAACTAGCCATTCTAATATGCAGTCATGAATGGGTTGATGTTATTTATACAATCATTACAGTATTGCAGTAGTCTGCATAATAGTAAGTCTTCTATTTTTTGTTTGAATAAAAATTCAAAATAGAAAGCAAGAGTAACATCAGAGGGGCCTGGAGACGTGACTGATGAACAAAGAAAATGTTATTTTAGAGCCAGGAATGTCTGCATTGTTCATTCTGGACCTTATTTTGAAATTGTCATATTTTTTAGTTTTCGTGAAATTGGCCAAATTGCAAATTTCTGACCACATTATTAGGTAGTTGAAATCGGTAAATGGGCAGTTTCTTGTACTCAATCGATAGAAAAAATGGAGTTCTAAAGAAATAGCTATGAGTTTGGGGGACTGGAACAAGAGAATTAGCCGAAAATAGGGCTCAAAGTGGGCGAAATCGCCAATTTGTAAACAGCGCCGAGGTCGCTAAGTTCACGAGAGCATAATTCCGTCAGTTTTCCATCAAATTTCGTTTTTTTGGTGTCATTACAATCGGGAAAAGATTCTCTATTATTTCATAAGAAATTTTTTTTTTTTTTTTTTTTTTAAATTTTGCGACACCAGGAGACACCTCAGGATTGGGGGTTGCGACAGTTAAAGGGTTAAAGTGCAGGCATTGTACTTCCCATTTCCAGAATTCAATTACGGCTAACCAGTTTCCCTGAATTCCTTCACAAAATACTACCCAATAGCTCATCAGGTTCCGAAAACCATTCATCTCCACTCACTCCTATCTAACATGCTTACACACGCTTGCTGGAAGACCAAGCCCCTCACCCACAAAACCTCCTTTACCCCTTCCCTCCAACCTTTATGGGAACGACTCCTACCCTGCCTTCCTTCCCCAATAGATATATACACTCTCCAAGTCACTATTTTGTTCCATTCTCTCTAAAAGACCAAACCACCTTAACAGCCCCTCTTCAGCCCTCTGACTAATGCTTTTAGTAACTCCACACCCCCTCCTAATTTCCACACTATGAATTCTCTGCATAATATTTACACCACACATTGCCCTTAGACAGGACATCTCCACTGCCTCCAGCCACCTCCTCGCTGCAGCATTTACAACCCATGCTTCACACCCACATAGGAGTGTTGGTACCACTATAATCTCGTACATTACTTTCTTTGCCTCCATGGATAACGTTCTGTCTCCACAGATACCTCAACGCACCACTTACCTTTTTTCCTTCATCGATTCTATGGTTTATCTCATCCTTTATAAACCCATCCGCTGACAAGCCAACTCCCAAATATCTGAAAACATTCACTTCTTCCATACTCCCTCTCTCCAATGTGATACCCAATTTTTCTTTATCTAAATCCTTTGATACCCTCATCACCTTACTTTCATCTATATTCACTTTCAACTTTCTACCTTTACACACGGGTAGAGGTCAATAAAGCAGAAGTAGAGGTCAACAGAGCAGGAGTAGAGGTCAATAAAGCTGGGGTAGAGGTCAATAAGGCAGGGGTAGTGGCCAATAAAGTAGTAGTGGTCAATAAAGCAGGAGTAGAGGTCAGTAAGTATTACCTTGAGAGTTAACAACTTGGAGAGCTGTGTTGATGGCAGCAACTCGGCTGCTTCTCTTAGGTGAAGCCAGCAACTGTGGCACTCCCTTTAACTTCTCCATTACCTGTCCAGAAACATTACACATGTATTATTATAGTCACTCATCATGGTTAGAGAAGGCTACATAAGACACATGATACACTACCTCAGTACTGCCACAAAGTATGGCAACACTGCATGCCTATACAAGCACACTGTGCTATACCAGTGATTCTCAACCAGAGTAAAATTAAAGTAAAGTTTATTTCTTGTAAAGGTTACAATGTGTAACTACAATTTTGATTTGCTAAGTACAAAGATAGCCACTATCATGCCGAGGCATTTTGAGCAAACTAATCCTAATACATGGTAACTAATTAGAACTAGATAAGATAATAGTACATAGTAACTATACTTAAAACTAGACTAGTAGTAGTGGTTAACTGTTTTACAATCTTTCTTGAACTTAATACAAGTGAGTAGGGTTCGGTAAAATAATCTTGAACTTACACACAAAATCTACCTTACAAGTACAGTGGACCCCTGGTATCCATTCCTGAGAGCTCATTGAATGCCAAAATTATCGGAAAGCGAATTAATTTTCTCCATAAGAAATAATGGAAATCAAATTTATCCGTGCAAGACACCCAAAAGTACTATGAAAAAAAAGTTTTACCACATGAAACATTAAGTTTAATGCACACAAACTGAAGAAGACATGCACAGTTAGTAGTACTCTACTAACAATAGAATACATGACACTTACCTTTAATACATAAAGGTGGTGACCCTACAGACTTAAACAACTATAGGCCAATATCAAACTTACCATTGCTATCCAAAATCTTTGAGAAACTCATGCACAGGAGACTATATTCATTTATAACAGCACAAAACATACTCAACCCCTGCCAATTTGGATTTAGGAAAAATAAAAGCACTAATGATGCAATCATAAAAATGCTAGATCTGCTTTACACAGCATTGGAAAATAAGGAATATCCACTAGGAATTTTTATTGACCTAAGAAAAGCTTTTGACACAGTAGACCACGACATCCTACTCCACAAACTTGACCATTACGGTATAAGAGGGCATGCACTTGCTTATTTCAAATCTTACCTTACTAATAGGTATCAGTATGTTACCATTAAAGACACAGCATCAACAACACGGCCACTTGATACCGGAGTTTCTGCAGGAAGTGTCCTTGGTCCCCTGCTCTTCCTCATATACATCAATGATCTTCCAAACGTATCCCAACACCTGAAACCCATTCTCTTTGCTGACGACACGACTTTTGTCATCTCTCACCCTAATCTTGCCACCCTCAACACCATTGTTAACGAGGAGCTGATCAAAATATCGACTTGGATGACAGCCAATAAATTTACGCTTAACACTGACAAAACCTACTGTATTATGTTTGGTAGCAGAGCAGGAGTTGCACAAATTAACATTAAGATTAACAACACTCTAATTACCAGACATAATGAGGGCAAATTCCTAGGCCTATACCTTGACAACCTGAATTTCAGCACCCATATCCAACACACAACCAAAAAAGTATCCAAAACAGTTGGGATCCTCTCCAAGATACGATACTACGTGCCGCGAAATGCCCTTCTCACACTATACCACTCACTTATTTATCCATACCTCACCTATGCTATTTGTGCTTGGGGATCAACTGCAGCAACACACCTAAAGCCAATAATAACCCAGCAAAAAGCTGCAGTAAGAATAATCACTAAATCCCATCCCTGGCAACACCCCCCCCACTCTTCATAGATCTAAACTTACTCCCTGTTCAGTACATCCACACTTACTACTGTGCAATCTACATCTACAGGACCTTAAACTCCAATATCAACCTTGACCTAAAACGCTTTCTTGATAGTTGTGACAGAACCCACAGGCATAACACCAGACACAAACATCTCTACGACATTCCCATGTCCACTAAACCTTTACAAAAATTCAATGTATGTCAAAGGCCCTAAAATCTGGAACACCCTACCTGAGAACTCTAGAACTGCAGACACATTCATCACCTTCAAAACTACCATTAGAAAACATCTCATCTCCCTGATAAACCCCATCAACTAACTACACGAATACCACCTGGTGGTTCACACTTACACTCACTCACCCATTTGACCATAAACAGAAATATTAATCTCAATCTTAAAATAATGAATCCTATGATACTCCAATACTGAAACTATGTACTGTGCCAAAACAAAAGCATTCACACTGCTAAACTCACAAACTAGTATTTAGTCACTTAGCCATAATACCAACTTACCTCATAATTTGTAATATTTTAAAATAAAGAATTAATCTAAGTCTGCCCGAAATGCCTAGCCATGCTAGGCGTTCTAGTGGTACACTCTGTAATCATTATTTAACTACATGTAAACCACACAACAACCAAATTCTGTAAATTCAACATTGTAATCTTTATAGAGAATAAACTTTGAATGAAGATCTGGTGATGATTGATGGGATGGGAGGAGGGGAGAGTGTCGAAGTTGTTAATGTTTAGAAAGGGAATCCCCTTCCATTAGGACTTGAGGTAGCAAGTCCTTTTCTGGGGTTACTTCCCTTCTTTTAATGCCACTAGGAGCAGGTTGAGTCACTGGACCTCTGTTGCACAACAAATCTGTCCATAGAGGTCTGTACCTCCCGTTCCTTTAACCCTTTGACTGTCGCAACCCCCAATCCTGAGGTGTCTCCTGGTGTCGCAAAATTTAAAAAAAAAAAAAAATTTTTCTTATGAAATAATAGAGAATCTTTTCCCGATTGTAATGACACCAAAAAAACGAAATTTGATGGAAAACTGACGGAATTATGCTCTCGCGAAGTTAGCGATCTCGGCGCTGTTTACAAATCGGCGATTTCGCCCACTTTGAGCCCTATTTTCGGCTAATTCCATTTTTCCCAGTCGCCCAAACTCATGGGCTATTTCTTTAGAACTTCCATTTTTTCTATCGATTGAGTACAAGAAACTGCCGATTTACCGATTTGAACTACCTAATAATGTGGTCAGAAATTTGTAATTTGGCCAATTTCACGAAAACTAAAAAATATGACAATTTCAAAATAAGGTCCAGAATGAACAATGCAGACATTCCTGGCTCTAAAATAACATTTTCTTTGCTCATCCGTCATGTCTCCAGGCCCCTCTGATATTACTCTTTGCTTGCGGCGGCGGCGGCAGCGGCAGCAAAGGTATCCTACCAGCTCTTCTTTCTCAAAAAAACATCGCTCATCAAAACTTGTGATGGCCTAAGTGAAAGTTCAACTACATGAACCCACGTAGACCACAACATGACCCAAGAATACTAAGAATGTAACCCAAATCTTGACAAAATTAGAAGATCTAAGGAAGACAGCCCTGCTAACCCAAACACTGCCTCCGCTGCCAGACAACCACTTAACCCAAGTTCCGAGAAAACAAGCCTTCTCCTCCACTGCTACACAGTATCTACTTCAGTGATACTATGAAAGGATATCGCAGAAGAAACAACACCAGTAATAACAGAATAACAGCAAGGACCCTAGAACTCAACTTGTCTACCCAGCAGGACGCCGGTGTATCATCAACCCCCCTCACCGCCGCCACCCAGGGAACAAACAACAAAAAACAATAAACATGGCTGACTCCCCCTCCAAACCCTCCACTCCCTTCAAAGGATTCACCCATGATAACTCAGGTATGATTATTCCTGACAATATCAAGGACTACATCGTTGCTCTAGAAAATGAAATCAAAGCAACACTCGAGCGACGAGAATCCAAGATAACCAACCTCGAGAACAAGATCCAAAACTTGAAGGGGAAGATTACATCGGGAAGTGTTGACACAGAAAATACTCTAAAAGCAGCTATAGCCAGCACCCCTGAGCAAATAACAAAAATAAATATGAAGGTAAAAGAAGCAATCAAGGACTGGAATCAGAACATGCACACTCGACTAAATGAATACCTTGATTTCCAAACGACAAAACTGAACAGATAAGTTGTCTGATGCAGTTATAATAAACAGTCCACACATTCCTAGTGACATAACACAAGCACAGTGCAAAAAAAACTGCTATCAGGATAATACAGAACCACGTACAAGTCATCTTTGCAAAACAATGAAATCAAAGGAAACACGTTTGCTAGGAAAACCAGGAAGTAAACACAGTATAATGATCCGATTTCATTCATACGATAAAAGAAAGGACCAAAATTAAATCAGCAATTACAATGAAAAATGGGAGTGTAATAAATGGTGTCTACAACAAAACGTAAAAACCTTCTGTTCAGGCTGAGAAAACTTAAACAGGAAAACAAAATACATCATGTTTCACGCGAATGGGAAAATACTAGTAAGGAAAACATCAACAGGACAACAATATACCATCTCAAACGAACATGATTTTTCTACCTTCCTTAGAAAAGCTGACATTTCTGTAACAGATTAGATAAGTGCCCTTAATACATATATATGTGTGGTGCTTATAGTGTACGTTACTATTATATTGTGCATTATTATTTTTATTATTTTATCACAAAGCTAATGCTAACTACCTCCAATACTCTATACTTCTTTCTTACTGCTATTAATTGCTCATAATTTTAATTACAAGTAAAATCTTACCCCAAAAAATTAAATATATTCATTATTTTTTACCTGTCCATTTAATTTTGTTTATCACTACTTTTTTTTTTAGTCACTTTCATTGTGAAATGCAATTAGTGTATATTCCAATACTTTTTTGCAAGTACCAAAAACTATCTTTTGCTAGCTAGTCCCAAAACTACCTCATTTTTTTACTTTTATTGTGCAAAAAAATGCTCAATTTATTTAATATTACAAATCAGATCTTACCCCTAAACCAATATTATTTCATAGTGACCATCTGTCCATTTAACTTTGTTTACCATTACTTAATTTTAGCCCCTTATATATTTTTCCTTTATTTTAGTTTATATAACTACCCTAGTTATATATTCACAATTGTTAAAATAATCAAGGGCTATTCTCAGGTGCTAAAAGTAGAATAAGTTCACAATTTTGCCATTATATTCCAA